GGGGAAGTAGGAAGATAAGGACACCCACTCACGACAACCAGGGGGGCAGCCCACGAAGCAATCGAAGGGGGCTTGTATTTCCATAAGAGACCCGGACCAAGGGACAGAGATTAAAACCCACCAGGAGGGGGCCAGATGACCGAAGGCAGGAGTAAAGTCAAAATACCACCGACGAAGGAACTAAATCCCAGGGGCGAAAAAACAGGAGCAAATACAAGCTGCAATGGGGGAAGCCCAAGGGCAGTTAGAATATCTGGAGTCATATGATTGGCAGGGACAAACTGACCCCACCCAGAAAACGGAGGCCTACCCGGGACCCTAGCAACCACCAACCAGCAGGGCGCCCCATTGATTAGGAACAGCTGAACGAAATTAGTTTTGAATAGGTCAAGACAGGGAGGAACAGCGAAAGTCAGGAGCTTCGGCGTCAATGGAGGAATTAAAACTGAGAGATCAGAGCTCTTCATACAACAGCAGAACCGCGCGTCAAGGACCCCAAGGCTGTGACGAAGATGCCAACCTCTATTGTTACCGAAGCCTCAAACAGCATTCTGTTGCCGTGAAAGGCTTCTTAGGAAGACTAGGAAAAATCCTAACCAACCAATATCAGGGTCCCAAGTGGGCCGAAATAACAAGGACCCCCCAGGCTGTATACAGGAAAGTGCAAACAAAAGAGGCAGAGAGCATTAGTTGGAAGCCTATTCTGGATTGCATAGTGGATAAGATTTTACGACTCCCAAGCTTGAGTATCAAAACAGAGGGAAGAAATAAAGAAGTCTGGAAACAAGCCAACTGGGAGAAGCTGATAAAAGATGGGACGGGGGCTTACTGGGGGGGCACGGCGAAGTTACAGAACTTCATCTCAGCCGTAATGTGTATAGTGGGTGCAATATTGACTGAGAAGGATAAAACCAACCCCAAAAATGAGCAGCTGAGAAGCAGGTGTGGCCAAGTGTATGAGTCGGTGAAGATAGATTTGGAGATAATTGAGGAAGGCATAAGCGAAACAAGCATAAGATCGCATCAGGAGTTTTTGGAAAAGATTAGGGAGGTAGAGAAAAGCGAAGAAACAAAATTGGATGGGTTGGGATTTCTGTTGGCTGTGGCCTATGGAGTTTCGACATGTTGTGACTACAGCAGGGGTCTGACCCTTGGAAGATTAATTAACAAAGGAAAGTGGACCTTGGGCAGCCTATCCCCGTGCTATTTTGACGGGTCAACATTAAATTGTGGGGGAGGAGACAAGTCAAAGGAGGACAAGAAAGTGAATATCTGGGCACAGGGAGACCAGTTATTAGCAAAAGCACAGAATCGTGAAGCTGCGGCGGCACTAACTCTGAAAGCAGGCCCAAGTGGAGAACACCTCAAGGTACTGAAGTCCAGTTATCAAGCACCTGATTCCAGCAGGCTGCACTCACAGTCTAAGGGAGGCTCCTCGGCTATAGGGCAGAGAAAAGATCTAGACAACAACAACAAACAGGCCGAGAAAGGACTAAATGAAGAGAAGCCCAAAGTCGAATCCAGCACTGAAACAAGGCGTCTCCAGGGAGACTCAGACGCCGCCACTCCCCAACCCAACCTGACAGGTCAAGCGGCGAGTGCAGGAACTCAGGGGGGGCTAACGGGGGATCAGGAGGGTAGCCTACCCCCTACCGGCAATGAGCAACCTCAGTTAACAGGAGGGGATGCAGCGGTCTCGGCCTCCTCGAAGGATCACTCGAAACAAGAGTCAGAGACCAACGAGTCAGGAGGGAAAGGAGCTGAGACAACAGTAACGGACAGCGGTCTACCAGGGATGGAAGCGGGCTTAAAGGAAGAAGATACAAACAATAGTATTGGTTTAGGGGTGGGAGTGACGTTGGGAGTTCTCCTGGGGGTGATGAGTATATACGGACTCTGGAGGGTAATGTTTAGGGCCCCGCGTAAGGCGAGGGGGGGCCTCATAGCCGGGACACGTCGGTGGGGTGTAGGGTATAGTCGAGGATAGTTCGGGGAAGCGACCTCAGCAGGAGAAGCCAGTTCCCGGGAGAAAAAGGGGGGGATTGACGGGGTGGGGGTTCCATATCTGGGATTATTCCAATACTCCAAGGAAGCCACTCTCAGGGGGGAAGTGTTGAGTTAGGTTTAGGCACGACCGGACAGAGACATGGTTGCGCCACGGGGGAACTTGGGGGACGATGGGCGCGTAGGATTAGGGTGGGGGGTCTGCTTCAGGTTTAGCTCTTAATGTTGACGTCTTAGGTTTCCGGGTTGGTGTGTAGGATTTATGGTTCAGAGTTGGGTTTTCTGAGTTCGGGGTTTATGGTCTGACAATTTGGAGTTCAGGGATTAAGGGTTCAGCATTAGTTGGTTAGCGTTTAGGGGTTAGGGGATTGGGTTCAAGGATTAGGATTGACAATCAGGGGTAGGTGGTTCGGGGTTCCTTTCAGGGTTTGGCGTCTATTCTCTATCGTTTATGATTCGTGGTGTAGTGTTCAGGATTTAAATTTTAGGTTCATTCTTAGGTCTAAGGGCTCGGGGTTTACGCTTGAGGTATATCTTTCAGGCTTTAGGGCATATGAGCCGGGTTTTAGGGGTTTAGGCTTCAGATTTAAGGATTTAGGTTTGGTTTATAGTTCAAGTCTTAGGTTTAGGCTTTAGTCCTAGGTTGGGGGATTAGGATTGAGGGTCAGGTTCAGCTTTGCGCTTCAGGTCCTAGGGCTTAGGTTTCATGGATTCAGGGGTAGGGATTCAGGTTTCCGGGTTTCGGGTTGATGTTGCAGGCTTAGGGTTGCTGGCTTATGTTTCAGGGTTTGGGGTTGGGGTCTTGGGTTTAGGTTTATGATCCAGGCATTCAGGGTTCAGGGTTCAGCGTTTAGGTTCTAGGGTTCAGGATTTAGGGTTTAGGGTTCAGGGTTTAGGGCTCTTGGTTCAGGGTTCAGGTTTCACGGTTTAGGGTCTAGTATTTATGGTTTAGTTTTTACGGTTTAGGGTTTCTGGATTTCTGGGGTTAGGTTTCATCCTTCAGATTTAGGGTTCAGGGTTTAAGTTTATGCTTTAGTATTTAGGGTCACGGTTTTGGGTTCAGCTTTCCAGGGTTCAGGTCTTAGTCTTAGGCTTTACGTCTCTGTTTAGGGTTCAGGGGTCAGGTTTCCAGGGGTCATGTGCTAATGTCCAAATTTCAGAGGTGATGTGGTAGTGTCCATGGTTCACGTCTGGCTTTCTGTTTCTAGTTTCCAGGTCTGTGTTGTCATTGGTCATGTTTTAGAGTTGAGCACGTCTGCTCTATCGGTCAGGTTCCACTTTTGAGGCTAAATCGGATGTGATTCAGGCGCCTCTGCTTAATCTTTAGGCTTCGGGCTCCATGTGTTAGTTTTATGAGGTAGGCAGTTTGTCTTATTGTTGATGTTTAGGCGTGCCTGTCCAAAGTCGAGTTTGGTGGGATGAGGTATGCTCTTCCCTCGTTATGTTAGGCTTCTAGGGTTTAGTCCCTATGGTCCCTCGTGTATTCTCTTAGGTGTAGGGACTACATTGACGCCTTCTGCCTTATGGGGTTATGTTGGTTGTTTTTGGCACTTAGAGTTGATGGGTTTTGTCGTAATCTGTTGCGTTTTTTTCCTTGCCTTCGTTTCTTTTTTTTTTATAGTGCATTCGTCTGGACTTCGAGGTTACGCGGCTAGTGTTGGTGGTTTCCGTTTTATTTGTTAGGTTTTAATGTTCAGGTGGTAGCTGCTGCGTTTAGGTTCAGTAGTTACCTGTCAGCTATTAGTTTTCTCTCTTAGGGCTATATGGTTTAAGCTGTATGCTTATTGCTCAGGGCGCTTAGTTCTGGGGGTCAGACTTAGATTCCTGGTGAGGGAGTAGGCCTCATTCTCTAGTGTCTTGTTCATAGGGTCTACGTTCCAGATATTAGATTTATGCATGTAGTGGTCATTTTTCATGGATTTGGTTGTATTTCCCTTTGTTTAGAGTTCAGGGTGGGGGGTTGAGGCCCTATTTTCCCAGAGTTGTTGTCGCGTCTTTAATTCTATAGGCTGTATTGTTCCCCTTTTATGGCGTAGTGTCTAACGCTTTTGATTTGGAGGTTATTCTTCCTCTTTTATTATCCACTTGTTAGTGTTCAGTCTTAGGGTGTATCTCGTAGTTCTTACGCCTACTCTTCCTCTTTTGGTTTGTCTTGCTCAGAACCTACGGTTTCTTTTTTAATATTTAGGCGTCATCATCTAGTATACACGTGTTAACCCCTAGTGCTCAGACTCTTCCTTCTAATTTTCGTCTGTTGGGTTGCTTCTCTTCTTGCCTTTTCGTTATTAGTCGGTTCCATAATTCGTATTCCTTAGGCTTTGTTGATCAGTCGGTCCCTCTACCTCCAGTTTTCATTCTCTACGGTTCCTTTATCTCCTCTAAGGTTTCAGGTGTTCTTTACCTGTCTTCCTATAACCTCTTTGTTGTATTCTTGAGTAGGCTTTGCATTTATTTCACCTGTCCGGCTATCTGTGATATGTAACCCCCTTTAGTGCTCAGGCTTGAGGCTTCATACTGTATTCTTTAGCGGTTATGGGGAGTCTTTACATTTAGCCTCTGTTTTTCATTTGTGATCCGTTGTCATCCAAGACGGATTGTTGGAGCTCCCCCTTTAAGTCTAGTATTGCTGAGATATGGTTCTTCTTGTTTTTTGGTAGCTTCTCCGTTCCAATTGCTACTCGTCCAATTTTATTTCCTCGATTTGGTTTTGAGGACTGAGTTTTTGCTGTTTAAACCTTGGGTTCTTTGTTCTCACAGGGTCTCTCAAGCCTCCTGTTCCTCTACGCCTCATGAGTAGGGTTTTTTTTGGTGTTTTTTTTTGCCTGGTGATGATTTTTTAGGGAGTGATGAGAATTGATCTTACGTATCAAAATGAATTGGCCTTTATAATTCCTTGATCTTAGTTTTTACTAAAAAATAACTACCAATACAGTAAGTGAGGAAGCCTTCATACTTACATAGGTATGCACTCCTGGAGGAATTAGAAATAATTCCTTTATTCTTTAATGAGATTACAGCTACTGATTCCTAATAAGCCACATAATATCTCTAATATCTTAAAAAAACAAAATAAAATAAAAGGAGCACATAAGCTAATTTGAATTCGTCAATAGTAGCCCTTGAAATAATCATGGAGGATTTTTGGCATCACCGGAAGACAATTATATATACGTCCT